CTAAAGATGATGAAATATCCAGATTTTGTAAAAAAAATTTAATCAAAGGGAGACAACAAAGTTATTACTTTGTTCATAAATGACTTACACAATTACTCCCCTTGATCTATTTTCACTTTCAATTCTAAAAATAGAAATTTAATCAAAGGGCATGAAATAATCCTCTTTCTTGGACTTGAGTATGTTCTAAAGAATGTAACATTTATTTACACATGTTTCATTCATTGGTCAAGATTCTTAACTGTGATAACTATGGTGTTCTGTAGACTTGGTATTTGTTCATAAAGATCATGACAGTAATTACCTTATCAAATGTAAATACTTTCTCATAGAAATTTAATCATATTTTAATTTTCAAGTAAATATCAGTTCAGCTCATTCAAAGATTAAGAATTGTAATGAAATGTATTTCCCCTAGAATAAAATCTTAAATCAGAATTTTTTAGTTATTAAATTACATGTACTTTTTTATACGCCCGTTTAAAAAAAGATAAAATATGAAGATGTGTATAGGGACGATTTAATCATCATTTATTGAGGGATTGTAACACAAATGGTCATTATAATGACTACGGATGTGACACATGTACTTTAGGTCAATATATGCAAGGTCAAGGTCACTAAAGATGGTGAAATATCCAGACTTTGTCTGGAGCATATCTCCTACATGTATGGAAGAATTTTTTAATAATACTTTATGGAAATGTTCACCACCATGATATGTATTGCTCCATGCATGATCCAGGTCTCCAGGTCAAAGGTCAAGGTCACACTTAGAGCTCATTGAAAAACGCTTGTCCGGAGCAAAACTTCTACATTCATAGGGGGTTTTCAATATAACTTGGCACAAATGTTCACCATTGTGAGGCTGAGTGTCGCATGCAAAATTCAGATCCCTGCGACCAAAGTCAAGGTTACACATAGAGGTCAAAGTTCAGATAAAATTTTGAAGATGGTTATAGGGACCATTAAGTCATCATTTATTGAGTGATTGTAGCACAAATGGTAACTTATCATGACTACAGGTGTTACACATTTAATTTAGGTTAATATTTGCAAGGTCAAGGTCACTGGAGATGATTAAATATCCAGATGTTGTCCGGAGCATATTTTCTACATGCATGGAGGAATTTTAATGTTACTTTTATAGAATTGTTCACCACCATGAGGACGTAGTGCCCCTGCACATAAACCAAGTCTCTAGGTCAAAAGGTGAAGGTCACAGTTTAGAGCTCATAGAAAAACACTTGTCTTGAGCAAAACTTCTACATGCATAGAGGGATTTCAATATAATTTGGCACAAATGTTCATCATTGTGAGGCTGAGTGCCGTGCATAAAATTCAGGTCCCTGCGACCAAGGTCAAGGTCACACATTCTGTGCAATATCTTCCCTATTGATTTGTTTTAAGGTTCATTTAACAACACAGTGCAAGAAAAAAAAACCTTTTGCCTTTTTTTTTTTTTTTTTCTTTTTTTTGGGAAAATTAAACAAAAAAAAAAAAAATTTTTTTTTTTTTCCATTTTAAAAATTTCCCCCCTCTCATCTAAAGCTTTTTCGTAAACGGGCGTATTTTGTGACTATGGCACCCTTGTTAACATTTATGAAACAAGTTTTAAATTTGTATGTTGAACCATTTATAACTTTCTACTTAAATTAGTTTGCGGGATTTAATTATCAAAACGTCAGAATATAGTATTGGAGTATAGGAGAATTTTGATCGGGTTGTACAAGTGCTACAGACCTGTCATATATAATATAAAAAAAAAAACACAACTGAACTATTGAATATATAAATGTATAAATTTTATAGTGTGAACTGGAAAGTTATTGACCCGTGTGTGTGTGCATTTTGTAGTAAAAAATGTCTCAGAGCCTAAGGAGGCATTTTGTATCTATACTGTTTGAATGAAAACCTGTTAGCAAACACTTGAAATTTTATAATGTTTGTATTTGCATGTTACATATACATGTATGATAAAAATATGTGTGTTTAGAATTTGAAAAAGATCGTAGACAATGTTTTCGATGTTTTTTATTACATTAAAGCAGGAAAATTAGTTAATCATGTGGAAATGTTAATATTTTTATAATTTGACTGAGAAGTGCACTTGGAAGTGTTATATAATTCTGTTATCTTTAAGGTAACATTTTCATTTGTTTAAACTGGCTATGTAAAGTAATTGTACAATGAATTTGTCAGGAATTAAATATTGGACCACCTGCATATTTATGCTTTGCATCTACTACTAATAGACCACTGTCTGTGACTGAAGTCTTTGTTTAATGAGGGTCCATCCGCAGTTAAGGCATAAATGAAGCTATCGCTGTTGATTACGGACCCCGGAGATGTCACTAGTCATGCCCTAAAAGAGTTGATTTTGAAGCTCTAAGTGCTGATAATTTACTTCTGTGCAATTTCCACGGAGCCAAAAATATATTAGCCAAAAGTAGGTCACTGTACGTCAGTCAATGAGAACCTAAATGTTCAGAAACATGAGATTATATGAAAAGAAGGTAGCCTTGAAAGGGATGTTGGTGCCAAGCAAAGGGCCTGCCTTTCAGACCATCACTCTGTGCTAGGGGCTCACGCACCCCTGCACACTTTCCTCATTGTCCCTGCCTACTTTGTAGGGCCACTTCCCTCGGCTTTAGTCAAGACATTGGCAGCTGAAGTCTGCAGTCATAGATGAAGTAGATGGTGAACCAAATTATAGGTAGTTTTCAGTTGCCTATCCGCCAACCCGCAAATCTTCTGCTGATGCCCTGTGCATTCTTTGCAGCGTGCATGACCAAAGCGTAGAGGGGAGACCAATAGACCACTGCCACTAGACTGTGATAAACAGACTTTTGCCCACTGGGGCAATTGCCATGTAAAGACCAATTAGAACACCCTGGCTATTATTCATAATAACCTTGAACTTGAAAGTAGTTCTACTGTGTGGTTTTAGATGTAATCAAAAACAAAGGGTGTTATCTTTGATAATGTCTAAAGAATAATCGGTTTTTACAATCATAATATTAAGTATATAAATAATGTCCTGTTTACTGTTATATCTAAAGATTTAATTAATTTAGGTGAACTTTTACTCAATATATTGGAATAAATTAAGTCAGCAGCTATCAGCATTAAATTACTATTTGTTTACATGTTTAGTTTCTTAGCGTAGGTTAGACCAAAAATACTGTATCTGTTTTGTATATTCTTACTTGAGGTCCTTATGAAAGGAAACAGTACATTATAAGGTCTTTATGATATTCAACAAAAACGAAGCTTGAAGTTAAAATTTCTGGGTTCTTTTTTTCACTATTCCTTTCTTTTTCTCTTATAGAAAACTAATTGAAATAATGTTTAAATAGTTATTCTTTAACAATTTAAACTCATGTATAATATTAGAAAAAATTAAAGATAATGAGTAAAATGAAACTGACACATGTTTAAGAATACTGATGAAACTGTTGATTTAATGCATATTATGTTCAATCTACTTGGCAAAACAAATTAATATAACAAACACAGTGGTGACAACTTCTTTAGTGACATTTCTTAAGAAGAAAAAAAAACAACCGGGGTAGAAATTAATTAAATAGCAAATGCCTGCCCTTTGTTTCAATAAAATTTTTTATGGGGGGAATGTCCATCTTTTCAAAACATATGATGTGGGGGGGGGCAAATATCTACTACAGCAAAATCAGAGGGCAAATGTCGGATTTGGCTATGTCTGCCACAGCAAAATTAGAGGGCAAATGTTGGATTGGGCTATGTTTGCCATAGCAAAATTAGAGGGCAAAATGTTGGATTGGGCTATGTCTGCCACAGCAAAATTAGAGGGCAAATGTTGGATTGGGCTATGTTTGCCATAGCAAAATTAGAGGGCAAATGTTGGATTGGGCTATGTCTGCCACAGCAAAATTAGAGGGCAAATGTTGGATTGGGCTATGTCTGCCACAGCAAAATTAGAGGGCAAATGTTGGATTGGGCTATGTTTGCCATAGCAAAATCAAAGGGCAAATGTCGGCTTGGGCTATGTCTGCCACAGCAAAAATTAGAGGGCAAATGTTGGATTGGGCTATATCTGAGGGGCTAAATTTTCTAGTCTTTTTTGACATCTTGAGATTTTATATATTTCCTGTGATTAACATGATTTTGTTAATAATATCCCAGTGCCGAGATAGTGTTTCCAAATGTTTCATATATCACAATCCATCCACATATTGGATGTCAGGAACCATTGATTTTACTATTCATAGCCTTGTTTCATTTATAGAAATAATTAAGCAATTACTTTAACTATCTAAGGAAAGATAATGTTGGATTTCATTCTGGTATTTATAGGACATGCAGTTATTCTCAACAATCTTGTATCTTGAAATGTTTATTTACGGAGATATCTCCAGTTAAAAAAGGTGATCTTGAACACAGCATGGTTTGAAGTGTTTGTCAAGTGTGCAAAGCAATTTTTATAATGTGTAAACATACAATAAACATTCAGTTTAAGGACTTCTACTTCTGTGGTTTCAGGTCTTGGATAGTCAAATTTTTTTTTAAGTAAAAGTGTTTATGATGTTTAATATACATTTTGTTGTAATAATATACTGAGAAAAAATATATCATAGTTCAATAATAGTTCAGTTCAATTTTTGATAGGTCAGTTTTAAGTTCAGTTTTATCAATAGATAAGTATATATATAATAAGTCTTTGTTGAAGTAAGGAAAATAATCTTGTGTAGATATTATGTTGGATTTAATATTTGAGACTAAGATAGAAAGGAACACCCCCTCCCTATCTTGACCTCCCCTCTCCCCTGAACCCTTTCATAATACATAGACACATGCAATTGAATATTACATATATATGTAATTACAATTGGTTCAATTTGAAATTATGATATGTGCTATTGAACTTTATATTAATTATTTTGTTCTTTTTTATCATTATAAAGGTGTTTTAGGTTACCTGTATATATGTGCTGCTTAACATGTTTAATTTTATATTCCAGTGAGTTGACATTAGGTGATGTTAAACTTGAAGGTGTTCAGTCATCAGAGGGTATTGTGACACCTACAGAAGCAGCAGCTGCAGGTGATATTAATGTGATACTTGATAAAGGTGACAACAATATGGGGAATAATACTTCAGCACCAGTTGTTGCTACTTCCATTAAAACAGTGGAAAATGGCAGTACAGAAAAGCCCTATAGTTATGGTGATACAGCTGTGGTGAAAAAAGGTAACTCAGGTTTTATGTTAACATTTTAAATACCATTGATGTTCAAAGAAGGCCTCTTTCCAAAGCCAATATTTCTTAATCTTTATGCATTATAAAGGGAGGTATATTTTATTCCCCTATCTTTTGTCTTGGCTTTTCTTGCATATCAGACTGGTGTTTCCATTAGTTTTACATATGCCAGAAATTTTGTCAGGCATTGGGGGTGCCAAATGAGTTGTGTGCTATACAATGATATGCTTAGGATGACATAATTTTGATGTTATGAATGAAGATGTAAGTTCATATGCTGTGTAAGAAAATAGTTATGGGTGTAATATGACATAAATTCCATGGAAAATTGTTTTATTAAGGTAAAGAATTTAAAATATGATGGAATATGGTAGAATATGCGAGAAAAATATCTAACATGTGTCTGCGGTTTGGATTGGAATATCCGTCCCTCGGGAACCCACACATGGGCAGTAAGTCGGCAAGCCTTGTTACAGCCCAATGGGCAGGTCCCCTCGGGATGGATATTCTGATCTGAACCGCAAACATAATTGACAGATATTATTATTCCTGAGTTAGCAATTTTGTGTTGGCTGAATATATTTCTATTGTCTAACAGAATAGAATAGCATAAAAGGGAAATCAGATATGACATCAATAAACCAAATGATGTCAGCAAAATTACTCCTATGCTCAATGTAGTTCAGCATGTTTTTATCAATTCTCTTTTTTATTTGCATGTTAGAATGAAAATGGATATTATTTTTTCTAGCATTATAGTATAACAATGCATGGTTTCATGTTCAAATACTTTGTGATTAAGGCCTATCAGCCTTTGTGATTATATTCCTATGCATTTGATCTGGAAGTGTGTAATATTCTACATCAATGCACTCAAATTTGATATCTATTACCTAAACAAAGAGCAGTCATAAATTGTATTTTATTATTATGCACATTGTTATTGTATACAGTTAAACATTCCCTTTACCACTATGCAGAAATTATGATGTTTTGTAGACAATTCCAGTGGTATTGATGGAACTCTTGAAATGACCAAAAAGAAAATGCCTGTAAAATAGACAATTTGTATTACAGATATTGATGACTTGTTACCAGCAAGTTCCTTATGGACAACAGATATGAAGGGAACCGTTAAACTACGGATGGGTAATTCCGGTCCAGCATCGGTGAAGCCCACCACTATACCTACCGTATTTAGAAAAACTGTAGAAAGGCTACCAAATCATCTGGCATTAGGTATTAGTCAATTTTAAGGATTTATTTAATATTTCTTTCTATTTTGATAGCTTTTTTAACAAGAGGAATGGTTATTCTGGCATACATTTAAAGGGAGACACAGGCAAAATTTTTATTTCTTCGTTTTGAATTTTTCATTCATTATTATGTAAATGTCCTCAAATTGAATACACTAGGCAGTCACAGGAACAAAACTTTTCTCCTTAAAAAGAATAGAACGGTGGTTTCCTAACTTGACCCACGTGGGTCAGGTAAGAGTGTTAAGATTTCGCAAAAGTTGCCAAAATGAACTCTTGAAACGTTAAAGAACATGTCAAATGAATGACTTAGACTTGTTTCAATTGTACAATATCCAAAATATCTGTAATTGTAACTTCCAGGGTTTGTTAAAGTCACCTGACTTGTTTTAGAACCACTCGGTGATTCTGTTGGCGTCTAAATTTCGTTCAACGCTTCAAACACAAAATATATAGAATTTATACAGAAATTCATGCTGAGACTTTAAAAAAATGTCATTTTTGCGTGATGTGTATACATAAGATCATTTTGATATTTTGTCATTAATTTGCCTGAGTATCCCTTTAATAGTAAGTAACGCCTTTATTCAACGAGGCTTACACGTTCGGTTTCCCAATCTTCCATGTGGGCCTCAGCTGATGCACATATTATAACAGTAATTACAATGTATAAACAGTTTACATATACACAACATATATACACAAACGTCATATTGAAATAAATTACTTAAATTAAAATAACTAGTAATAATTATGTAATCAAACAAGAATACAAGTGTTCATGATGATATAATTGTACAACATCAAACAGAGAAAAAGCGCAATGTGTACAGATAGGCAAACTAACATACCAAATGGTGGTGAATTTGTAAAACATAAATGTCACCTGGACTTGATATATTGAAAATGGCCTACCATCATTAAGGATATGTATCTTATATAATTGATAAAGAAATCATTTAAACACACTGCATCAGTTGTTAAATTTTCATGATTTCGCACAATGCTACAATTGTTAAATTTCAGTGAGTGTGCACTCTGCTTCAATTGTGAAATTTCCTCAAGTATAACACTATCTTTGGAAAATTTTAATGACGATTCACACTCGTTCAGTTTTGAATTTTTGTTGAGCATAAACACTGCTTTAATTGTGTTACTTAGGTGATCTTGTCCTTTATATGATCAGATATGACCAATGAAGATTTTTTTTTGTGACTACAAGAAAATTATATGCTTTTGGCGAATTCATTTGTAATAATGTTATTATAATTTAGCTGTGAAAAGAGATGGTGAATGGAAGCAATGGTCATACGAACGTTACTATAAGGAATCACAACAGGCTGCCAAAAGTTTTATAAAGGTATAAATAATTTCTGTAAATTCACTTCCATTTCATGGGCATGAAATTTTGTGGTTGTTTTTGACACAAAGTACATTTTCGTGGGCTCTTATATCAGTGGATAGAGAATTTGTGCAAAAAGGTCAACTTCAAATAATGCATTAAAAAAAAATCATAAAGATTTTGTTGAATTTTAAATTCGTAGATTGACCTATCTACAAAAATGATGAAAATTAGCTGCTACATGTATTTTGAGGTAAATCTTGCTGTCTGTCTAACAGCTCATATAACATATTAAGTTCAACTTATACAGTAAAATATTTGCAGACTTCATTTAGGTGTGTGAAGAAAAGGCAATACTGGTAAGTGAAATCCATCAAGGGGTTGTAAATTTGTTGGCATCAAAACATGGCATTTATATATTGATAATAAGTTCTTATTTTACTTTCAGCTTGGACTTGAGCCCTGTCATGGTATGGGTATACTAGGATTTAATGCCCCGGAATGGTATATCTCTTTTATTGGTGCCATATTTGCTGGGTGAGTGTAGTAACAATATTTTGACATGCCTTATAACAGGTACTTAAAAAAGTGCTGACAAAACTATTAGTCTTAACATAATTGTTTTGAAATATATTTCTCATACATTGCATTTTCATTCTGACATTATTCACCCGTTGAATGTTAGTGTATACATTGTCCAGTCATCACATATTTCTGTGTACGAGTCTAATCAGAGCTTATATTGTTAACTGCTGAATATCAGACTTCCTGAAATCATGGAAATGAGTGGTGAATCATTTACAGGACAAATTCATGGAACAAAATTCAATGTGGATTAATTCAGCTTTTTTGGTAAAGTTTGTTAATAGCCAAGATTTTTTTTGCATGCAAGATCTGTTTTCATAAAAACTGGCCCCGTGTTCACTAAGAAAAGATCAGGATCAGGATCAAGTGATCCTGATTTTATTTTCATTGTTTAATGTTACTAAAAGTATTTGTGTCTTGTTGAATTAAATTGTAAATATTCAAAATGTAAAAGTATGCTGATTTGCAACGAAAAAAAAACTATTTTGGGATAAAATCAACAAATAACAAAACAAATACAAAAATATTTGGATCAAAATTAGGATCAATTTTAGGATCAGGATCAATATTTGGATCAACTGTAAAATGCCCATATCTTGCAAAATTAACAATTAATTTATTCTAAAATTTCATATACTTGCTATTTCAAGTCCAGTTTTATCATATTTATAATCAGATATTTATCTATGAGGATAAACAATGAAGAATATCAGGGTTTTTATATTTGATCCTGATCTTGATCCTGATCCTTAAATCTTTGTGAACACGGGGCCTGGTGATATTCACAGATGTCTTCAGTGTCATAATTGAAGATCCCTGAACAAGGACAGTAACTCTAACCTTATTTTGAATGCATTATCTCCTTTTGTAAAGTAAGTTAATCAAAAAGCCTTAAAGGCATAACTTTCTATCTTGCTTAAAGGTTTGTAAAGATTTAAACTAAAATTTGTTGATTTTTTGGAAGAAAAGGAGGTGAATTTTACAATATTTATCATGATTATTATCAGGGGTAAAGCAACTGGAATCTACACTACTAACACTCCAGAGGCCTGCCAGTATGTACTGGAAGATTGTCAAGCTAATATTGTTGTTGTTGAAAATCATATGCAGCTACAGAAGATAATTAAAGTATGGGATAAGCTGCCTCATTTGAAGGCTATAATACAATATACTGGTGAGGTGGCAGAAAGGAGGGATGGAATCTATTCTGTAAGTAGCTTTAAAACAAGGTTTACAATTCTGGAAATCCTGGTTATTAGATTTGTAAATTGCAGGTAGTTGGTATGGCATCAAACATAACTTGAGTTATTCTTATATAACAAGCTTATGTGGATACCTCACTTGGGAGTGCCTTTTGCCTCCCTAGGGTCAAGGTCATTGTTACTTAGAATAGAAAAGTTATTTTTTGGTTAACCTAGTTCTATGGCATTGCCATATTTCTTGCCTGTTGCTTAAATTAATGAAGATATGATACATTGTATATTTAATGAAAACTAAATCTTAAATGCAGGTACAAGAACATTTTATTTAGGTTAAAATAAAGGAAGAGGTGTTTATTGGGTACATGCTCAATTAATCTATTTGCTGTTTTGACATTCTTGTGCTTCTTGATTCAAACTTTAGGCATTATGAAAAAATACTTGCACAAAGTGTTATTATTACATTTTATCAAGGTTGTTTTATTTTCTGCAATAGATATATAATTTATTTTGTATCACAGGGCTCTCTCCCTGTTTTAGGGGAACTGTACCTTTAGAAGGGGAAGTTTTCATGTCAAATTTGCATATAGGGGGAATTTCAAGGGGGGCAATTATTTAAAAAAAAAAACTGGGGAAATATTTACTTTTTTAAGTGTATGGGAGTGGGACAGCTTAATTTTTGCACTTAAATTTGTGAATTAAGGGCCCTGCTTTCATATGCCATACTAATTGTGCCTGATGACATCTATGTTATCTATGTTGAAAGAGTGCTATTGTGGTTTATTATGATGGTTTAAGAATCTCACATAATGCATAGTATAAAATTATAGTGTTATCATACTTATGGTAATAAAAGAACTTTGATTTTATTACCTGTTGATAATATGCATCACTTGAGAGAAAAGGAAACAAATGAAATGTTTGTATTGATTTACTTTCCTTTACATTAAACATAGAATTATTTCCTGCATACTCTGTAATTTTCCAAATCATAATAAGCACTTTAACATCTTGTTTTCAGACACTGTCTGGACTAAGCGGCCTCAAATATTCATACAATGAGGCGTACAATATTTCTATATTTAGCCGTCAACTTGCTGAAACTGAAAGTGATTTGCCTTTGCTAACAGTACATGTATATTATATTGCCAGGCCAGCCTGCAGAATCAGACTCTAAACTGCTGGTAGCTCAGTTTTTGCATTTTCATATAAAAACCGCTTTAACTTTGAATAAACTGTTCAAAATTCAAAGCTGAACAAATCCATTGGTTAAAAAGTTAACAGTGTTTTTTTTTGTAATCTTGCATTTTGATATACTAATCCAGGGCCAAAAAACCCTCTTTTGTTGAGGCCGAATATAGGCTGCTTCCCCAACCAAACAAGCCTCTTTTTTCCCCAGTTTGTTCCTCAAAATTCCCCAATCTTGAAATTTCACATAGAATTTAGAACAAAATTAAATGATGGTGTTGAATTAAGGTCTTTTATTGCCCTATTAGTATTTCCCAGTGCTTTTTGATTTTCTATTTTGAAGAACTTGCTAAAAGTTTGTGTTAAGTTTAAGATCCCTTTCCGAAAGTATGCCAAAATCACGCATATTTTCCGGTTTTCCCCAAGATAAAGGCTGAGGCCCCTTCCCCAAAAATGGTGTTTTGGCCCTGTAATCATTGTTATATGTTTTCTCGTTTCAGTGGGAAGATTTTCTAGCCTTGTCTAAAGAAGTTCCTGATTCTGAGTTAGAGAAACGCTTTATGTTACAGGCACCAAATACTTGCTGTTCTCTTATATACACGGTAATTATTTATGCTTTCTAATATGTCTTAAAACAAATACTTTAAGCTTGAAAAAAATATCCACAAAAATATAACTACATATACATCAGGAAAAAACCTTCCTCATGTGGGGTTTGAACTTGTGCACCCTGGCATACACTCGGAGATACGAGTAATAACAACACATAAGACCTCTTGGTCAAAGAATTGATTACAGGATGGAGTTGTCGGTGATTGTATTTAAAGTAATCTTTGTATGTGCACTCTTAAGTAACAGTATATAAACAAAGAACTTGCATTTAAACGCTATTTTAGGAAAAGGGTGACTGTTATGTTAGAATAAATTTCCTTAGAGGACATTTAGCTTAAAGATTTTTGACAGGTTATATGGCCCTATATAAATGGTTGTTTGGAAATATAACCTGTATCACAATGTGTCATATAACCTGTCAGAAATATTTATATCAAATTTTATAATACAGTAAACATTTTCTTTTGGGGGGGGGGGAGGGAATGTAAGATTTCTTCATAAATTGACAACAGCTGTGTGTATAAAACTATATAAACATCACAATTATGCAATGAAAAGTGAAATAACAAACATGCAGTATTGTAAACACTTATCATATGTTAAAACTATGTGAGCTACCATGTGACCAAACGATTGACACCATGCTTTGCCTAAATTCAGTGTTGAAGAGAACAATATTTGTGTGGAATTTGATCATCATATCTAAAATCATTATTTCTTTTATCTAATACAGCTAGATACAATAGTAAAACCGTTAACATTGCCATGAATCTAGCTTGTAATGATATTTAAATCTATTATCTTTGATAAGATTTAATGAACTATGATTTGATAAGGGGAAAAAATCAGTTATGAATATGTGACCATCTTTACATCAAGAACTTCATATTCTTTCAGTCTGGAACGACAGGAAATCCCAAAGCTGTTATGATTAGCCATGACAGTGTAAGTAAACTTTATTCTTACTTTATATTCTTCATATTTATTAGTATTAAATATGGTAGGTAAAATTATTTAGTATTATTGGAATTACCTACAACCAGCTTAGTATTTAGATAAGCATATATTTGTTATGCACTGATTTTACATAATACATGTTTATGGCTGTTTTATTGACCGTTTAGGACTAATTAAAAATCCATAGCAATTTGGACTGTTTTAAAATCCATAACAATTTGGACTGTTTTGAAATTCATAGCAATTTGAATGTTTTAAATTCATAGCAATTTTGACTGTTTTAAAATCCATAGCCATTTGGACTTTTTTGAAATTCATAGCAATTTGGACTGTTTTAAATTCATAGCAAAATTGACTGTTTCAAATTCATAGCATATTTGACTGTTTCAAATTCATAGCAAATTTGACTGTTTCAAATTCATAGCAATTTGGACTGTTTCAAATTCATAGCAGTTTGGACTGTTTCAATTTATAAATGTTTGGACTGTTTTAAATTCATAAAAATTTTGACTGTTTCAAATTCAAAGCAATTTTGGTTGTTTCAAATTCATAGCAGTTTGGTCTGTTCCCATTTATAACAATTTGGACTGATTTAAATTCATAGCAATTTCTATTTCAAATTCATAGCAATTTTGGCTGTTTCGAATTCATAGCAGTTTGGACTGTTTCAATTTATAACAATTTGGACTGTTTCGAATTCATAGCAATTTGGACTGTTGCAGATTCAAAGCAATTTGGACTGTTTTAAAATTCATAGCAATTTGGACTGTTTTAAATTCATAGCAATTTGGACTGTTTCAAATTCATAGCAATTTGGACTGTTTCAAATTTATAGCAGTTTGGACTGTTTCAAATTCATAGCAATTTGGACTGTTTTAAAATCCATAGCAATTTGGACTGTTTTAAAATCCATAGCATTGTGGACTGTTTTTAAATCCATAGCAATTTGGACTGTTTTAAAATTCATAGCACTTTGGACTGTTTTAAATTCATAGCAATTTGGACTGTTTTAAATCCATAGCAATTTGGACTGTTTTAAAATTCATAGCACTTTGGACTGTTTCAAATTTATAGCAGTTTGGACTGTTTCAAATTCATTGCAATTTGGCCTTTATTCAGCTGATATATCCCACAATTAATGCAAGATAAAAGAGATATTTAATTTGGTAAATGACTCTTTTTTCTTCAAATTTTACATTTTGTTTACATCAGTGTACATGGACAGCAGAACAGACAGGTAAACAGTTACAGTATAAAGATGGTACTGAGATATCTGTCACATTCCTTCCACTGAGTCATATTGCAGCACAGATGTTAGATATACTTATGCCACTTAGATTTGGTACTTCTGTTTACTTTGCACAGCCAGATGCTTTAAAGGTATGTGTTTATTTTTATAGCTACAGAACCATTTTTTTCTGCCTCTGCAGTAGATTGGTTGTGAATTTGAATCACTTTGCCATAAACACTGTTGGTTTGTATTTGTGTCAAGGTCAGCTTATGGAAGGTTGGTTGTCCTACTGATGTGTCCACTCATCTATGAAATAAAGCATGGAATGGCAAATTATGTTTTCTCTTGTGTTCCCAAAAAGTTGTCAAATAATGTGTCAAAATTATGCTCTTTAAGAACATAACTATTATAATGGAGGTATAAATATCTTCCAAGTGAATAGCTACACCAAGAGCATCATTATTAACAAATTGTCTATAGCTTGATGACATTGAGCAGTAGGCTAGCAGTTTTCAGTGCTTGCCTCTTCACACGTTCAAGTTCTACTAGGGTCAGTGTGTTACTTTTACAAATAAAATAAAATGCTTTTGCTTTGTTATTTAGAAAGTTGAAATCTGCTGAATGTTTTAAATATTTATATTATAACCCTGCTTGTATTTATAATTAAATCCATGGACAATTTACAAGGATCATAACTCTGCTTTGTTATGTTAAATAATTAAACAGAATATTTACAGAGTAATAACTTTTTTGCTGCTTAGATGTATTGTATCATGATATCCATGGAATATTGTAAGGGATATAACATCTGCCTAGATGTATTATAAAATCAGTGGAATATTTATGGAGAAAAAACTTTTTGCTCAGGTGTATTGAAAAATAAATCCTTGTAATATTTTAAAGGGATGTAACTCTTTCTGCTTGGATGTATGGAATAATGAAACTTGAGGAATATTTACAGAGAAATAACTATTTATGCTAAAGTGTATTGAATCCTTAAATCCATCCAATATTTTACAGGGATGTAACACTTTCTACTTACTTTCTACTTAGATGTTTTGTATAATGAAATTCTTGGGGAATATTTTACAGGGATCATTAGTTGAAACATTAAAAGAGGTACGGCCAACAGGACTGCTTGCTGTACCAAGGTTATGGGAGAAATTCATGGAGAAGATGCAAGCTATTGGTGCCCAGACAACAGGTTTGAAACGAAAATTTGCCATTTGGGCAAAGGCAAAAGGAAAGAAAGGTGCAGAAGCCCAAAGAAATGGGTAAGTTAGTTACCTTCAACTTTTCTACAGGTTAAATATATTATTTTTAGATAAATCATTTCATATAATTGTTAAATCAAAAGAATTAAGCTGGAAAATGAAATTTTCTGATTATAAAACACATAAACAATAAGGAAACACACTGATACCTCTAATCTACCATCTACTCTCTATTTGAATTATTAAATAAAGCGGACTATTTGTTTCCCCATCTTCTATTTTTAGAAATGAATGTCACTGAGACATTATTAATAGCTCATGGGATGTTGTTTTGAAGAAGGCTTAATAACAGTGATATGATGCATATTTCCAAAATAGAATTACTGAAATACTTAGTTTGAAACAACTCCGAATCTGAAAAGAAATCATGTGATATTACAGTGTTGATGTGTCCTAAAGTGAAAATAATGAGATATTTTGTTGTCTTACAGAGAGAGAATGCCCTGGGGCTGGAGTATAGCTAATATGATATTGTTTAAGAAGATTAGAGCCAACCTTGGTCTTGACAGATGTAGATTACAGGGCTCTGCTGCTGCACCTATCATGAGGGAAACTCTAGAATATTTTGCGTGTCTAAATATTCGTATTGATGAGTGCTATGGAATGAGTGAAAGCTCAGGTATTTGTCATTTTTTACCCTCATATAGTTATTGTGATTTTGTATTTTACTATTGAAGTCAAAACACCACTATGTAACACATATGTTTCACTTCTTTTGCCTCTCAACCCAGGGATCATGGGTTAGAGCCCTAATCTGGTCACAACGATGTTTCATTATATGACACAAGTGCTAGTTGGCTCTTGGAAGCGGACTAGAAAGTGATTAATATAATTTGCAAAACTTGTTCCGCAATTGAGCTTAAATAAATATGTTTAAACCAATAAATTAGGTTAAAAAAAAACTTTTTTTTTTTGAATTTATAAGATTTAATGATATTTAACATGTGTTTCAAACAGGTCCACACACATTCTGTACTGATCAGGCATTTAGTCGATAACAAGTGTTGGTAGAGAATTACCTGGAGTAGAGACTAAGCTTGATAATCCTGATGAAGATGGTAACGGTGAGGTAAATAATCTCCTTATTTTACTGTGAATTCACTTAATTTTGTGGACATGAAATTTCGTGGTTTTATCAGAAACAGCATTTTCGTGGGTACTTAAATTCATGCACTGTTTATTTTTTCCAAAAGTTATAACGTAAATAATCGGATGCAAAAAAAATATTTTAGCAGACAAAGTGAAATTTCGTTGGAACTTAAATTCGTGGACTGACCTATCCACGAAAAAACACGAAAAGTAGTGCCCCACAAATAATAATGATTTTGCAGAATGTTGTCTCATTTTACTCATGACAGATCTGATCTAATTGTGACAAATGTTTGTTAATTATTTTAAAGTACATATATTTCATTGTCTGGACTAAACCTTTTTTGGAAAAAATTGCAAACTATGTACTGACTGAATAGCAAACAGTGCAGACAACGATTTTTAGCTGAGGGATAAGAATGCATCCCTTTTTAGCTCGACTTTTCTATGAAAAGGGGAGCTATCCTACTCGCCCCGGCGTCGGCGTCGGCGTCGGCGAGTTGGCGTCACACCTTGGTTAAGTTTTTCGTACCACCCCCACTTTATTTCAGAAGTATTACAAGTATGGCTTTGAAACTTACCATACTTGTTCACCATCATAACCTCCATCTACAGACAAGAGTACATAACTCTGTCAAGGTTTTTTGACAGAATTATGGCCCTTTTTTGACTTAGAAAGTGTATTGAGCTTGGTTAAGTTTTTTGTACCACCTCACTTTATTTCAAAACCATTGGAGGTATTGCTTTGAAACTGACCATACTTGTTTACCATCACGACCTTCATCAACAGACAAGAGGACATAACTCTGTCAAGGTTTTTGACAGAATTATGCCCCCTTTTTGACTTAGAAAATACATTGAATATGGGTAAAATCCACTTATTGCCTTAACCCTTTGAGATATTGCTTTGAAACTTTTAATGCTATTTCACATCATTACCCCCATCTGTACGCAAGAGAAGGTAACTCTGTCAAGGATTTGTTTTAAAAAATTAAGGCCTTTTATCGACTTAGAATCTTGGTTAAGTTTTTAGTACCAGTACCACTTTTTGACTGAACTGTTTGAGATATTAATTTGAAAGTTGGAATACTTGTTTACAATCATGATTCCCAAACATGTCCAGGAGAAGGTAATTCTGTCAAAGATTTTATTTGAATTATGGCCCTTAACTGTCAATGTTTTGTATTATAGGCAAGCACTAAATCTAATAAAAAAATTCTCACTAAAAAAAAATTGCTCAGGGCCACTGTTCACTTTAAAAATACAGAGATTCTTGTATTGCCTTTTACTGCAAAAACTTTTTTTAAATTGGCAAGCAATAAAAAGGTGGCATCGAGGTGCTGTTTAATCTTGGTCTGCACTGGTTATATCCAGTTGCTGAGAGCAAGGGGCGAAGAGTAAAAACATGTGACTCTTTCAATACAACATGTTCGTTAACTATACTGTAATAATACAGGTATGTATATATGAGATGGTATATTTACTATTGTAGATATGTTTCTATGGTAGACATGTGTTCATGGGTTACTTAAACCAGGAGGAGAAAACAAAAGAAGCTTTAGATGAACAAGGTTGGTTACATTCAGGAGATGTTGGCAAGAAAGATAAAGATGGTTTTCTATATATCACAGGGAGAATAAAAGGTAGGTCACAATATTTGTACACTTAATAATAAGCCTGATAAGTCCCAAATTATCTGCTTTTGCTATTGTCGGCAGTATCTACCTCAGTGTCAGCGTCCCCTTATGCTTGTCCTGAGCATAACTCAGACACTATAAGTCGTATTGACTCGAAACTTGGTATGTGGGCTTCTTTTAATGACTAAAAGTGCAATGCACAAGAATTGTTACTCTGCACTTCTTAATTTTTGAGTTATTGCCCTTTGTTAATTTTCATACTTTATTTTTATCCCGGCCAGTTCTCTTAAACTATTAAAGCTATAGACTTGAAACTTCATAGGATGATAGATCTCATTGAGAAGAAGTGCAGTGCACAAGAACCAGTACTACATACTTCATGTTTTAGAGTTATTGCCCTTTGGTTATTTATAATACATTATTTTTGTCCGGGCTAATTTCTTCACTTTAAAAGTTATTGACTTAAAACTTCAAAGGATGATAGATCTCATTGAGAAGAAGTGCAGTGCACAAGAACTTAAGTTAAAGGTACATGTACATTGTAAAAGCAGTGTTTATAAATAACCCATATTTAAGAAGAGAATGACTAATTTAAGTGACAGTTATACTGTTCACAAGGCGACACCTCTGACTCACAGAGTTCTACTTTATGGTATATAAAAGTCAACTCTATAATCGTAATCTTCTGTATTCTTGACACTGTCACACTTTTCAACTTAATGTCTTGATATTTCTATTATTTTTATCTCTTAGTTTTCTGATCTAACTATCGACTACCTTATATCTGGATGCAAATCTCAAACTCTGTAAAAAAGAAAACTTTGTGATCAAGAATCCTATACAAGCTGGACATTCTGAATCCAGAAAGAGTCTGGTTTAAAGAGTTTCTACTGTATTGTCAATGAGTTGTGTGTGCTAAGATGAAAAAAATAATGATTATAAAACATTATCCAATGTCTTTAGTTTTAACTTAATTTTTATGTCTTTCATTCCATTTGAAGAGTTGATTATTACTGCTGGTGGAGAGAATATTGCCCCAGTACCTATTGAGGACAATGTAAAGGAGGAACTGAAGTGTGTTAGTAACTGTATGCTGATAGGAGACAAGAGGAAATTCTTGTCCATGTTGATAACATTAAAGGTTTGTAATGAAATAATATTTGTCTCTATATCAGTCTTACACTGAAACTTTCCCCTATAACTTTGCTTCTGGTCCCCAATCTCCTGACATATAGCTTTTGGTTCCCAGTGGATATCTTATTGTATTGGACATGAATATATAGTTACTGGTCCTAAGTTTGTAGAGGTAACGGTAAGAAGCCTTAGGAAAGTTAAGAGTAACACCTCAATAGGCTACACTGCCACTGGTTAAGAAGTTGTGATAGTTATCACTTCAAACATTGTATTTGATGATATATTGAGATAGATTAAACAGTGTGAATATTTATGAATTAAACTAAATCTTATTACACAAAGTTAAAAGTCATCATTCTGATTTGTTTTGTTATTACTGTTGCTAAAATAGGCCCAGTGTTCGAACCATTCGGGGCTGTAGTCACCCCGCAAACTTATCCGGCTACATTGTATGTAAAATATGCTTGAGTGTAAATGTTTGAAATAAATTATGTTTAAACTATTTAACTTGATTTGAACCAGAAATACACTGGTGCATTGTTGTCATGAATGGTTCATTATTAATTTTTATGTTTTCAGTGTGATATGGACCTGGATACAAACGAACCATTAAATACATTATCACCAGAATGTGTGACCTGGTGTAAATCTATAGGTAGTTCTGCTAAAACGGTCAATGAGGCTATAGCTGATCAGGCAATGTTAAAGGTAAGTTCTGTCACGTATGTCAACGTATGTCGTATTTGTTTAAGCTACGCCACTGTGGAGTTTCCATGGTTATATAAGGCAGCCTGAGATGGTACTGAATGCCACTAAATCAATTAAATTTTGAAGTTAGAAAAATGAAACATCTTACTTTGCCCAGGTATAGATTAAATGAATTAAACATAAAATTAATATCAGAATTATTAACAAATTCCTGGTAATTTTGGATCATTCTCTCATACTTGATATAAAGAGCCTGGTGAATTGGAATAAATGTTGCCTACAAGATGAATAAATGAATAATAAGTACAGTATGTTGCATGACACTGGCTGAATGAGACACATTTTTAAAAGCTTTGCGATGAGTGACCCCCAGTTGTTTCTGTTATCATATTCTATGATCATGCTAAATTTAGATCAATTCAATTATACAGTTTTCATTATGCTATATGGTTTATATATAAGGCTAGCTTATAAGAGAGCATTTAATTTTATTTACGTTTATTTTTGTAGGCGATACAAGCTGGTATAGATAAAGCCAATGATAAAAGTGTATCTCGAGCAGCTAGGATACAGAAATGGTCAATTCTCGCAGCTGATTTTTCCATACCAGGAGGAGAACTTGGTAAAATAGTTTTTTCACTTTTTTATATCAATTTTTTTCATTTGGAAAAAAAGGAATTCAGCACAAGGGATTGAAAGTAATATATATATATATATATATATATATATACTTTATACAGGGTAAATCCTTTACATAAATTGAGCAGGTTTAGGTTAAATAAGGTGTGCCATACCATTACCTTAGTGCAATAAATGATTAACTCCTATTAAATTTAGAGGGACTTAACCCGTTACTGCACTAAGGTGACAATACATTGTTTTTTCCTATTATTTGTTGTCTGTTTTGGTAATTATAATTTCATGTGATGAAACTTATCTTAATTTTGTGGTCTATGATGTGTATTTAACTTGTTCCAGAAATGCTATGAGGCTTGCCACTAGTTGGCTTTATAATGAACACATTTATACACGAGTTAAATATATAAAGCGTGTTCAGATTGAAATCTTGTAAATCTTTTAGAATCAATTGTGGAGTTTACTGATATAACATATTTCTAACTACATATTTTAATATTTTAGGACCAACACTGAAGACAAGGCGGCCGATTGTTGTGAAGAAATATGAGAAGACAATAGAGGGATTTTATGCTGACTAATGAAACATCATTTCTTACTGGCCATAAAACATACATTTTACAATATTTAACACACAATATCCTAGATTGTACCCTTTTCTTGTACAGGAGGATATTGGTTTGTGTCCCTAAGACCTTTGTGATTTTTCTTGCTTGGAGCACATTGTGGGATATTTTATTCAGTGTCCAGGTTTAGATTGAAATGAAATGCAACAAGTTTTGTAGATGGACTGAGTTTTAGACTGACTTGAAATGCAAGTAACCTTTTGGATGGACTGTGTTTGGTTTTGATTGAAATGTTAGCAGTCTTATGATTGACTGGGTTTAGATTTAATTGAAAATGAAACCAGTCTTGTAGACTGTGTTTTTTTATTGAATTATAAGCAGTCGTAAAGATTGGCTGGGTTTAGAAATAATTGAAAATCCAACCAGTCTTGTAGATGGACTGAGTCTAGATTTTTTATATTGAAATGTAACCAGTCTTGTTTAGTTTTAATTGAAATATAACCAGTCCAAGAAGATTGGTATAGATAAAATGGAGAAATCTCATAGGCAAGACTGAACTCATTTATTAAACAGTGAAATATGAGTAATGAAATATTTTCATACATTCCATACTTTGTTAGTACCTCATTTGTTTTCAATGAATCATTAAATGAAATATATCTGTATTTACTTGAAACCACCTTGATGTAGATTTTGTTTGTTTGTTTCTTTTAAGTGTTGAAATGATGAACAATGTATACAATAATACAAAATCAGGTGTTAAATGACTTTTCTCCCGTGTTCTGGAATTGTGATCTTGAAGACAAATCATTTATCTATTTAAACAGAATCAACAAATAAAAGTTGATCATTGTTCATACTATTTTTTACAATATTGCTACTAAAACTGTTACTAAAATACACTATTTATTTTCCAAAGAATTGTGATGTAGATGTCATTTTTAGCTCCTTTTTTGAAGAAAAAAGTGGTGCTTTTTATATGAAACTCTTGTCGGTGTTGGCATTGGCATTTGTTTATCTTTTTGTTAAGGTCCATTTTCTCAGAAATTATTGAAAGCTATTCACTTCAAACTTATTTTCATAAAAGGGCAGATAATCCTAAAATAATTTTGCATACCATAGTTATGCCCCCTTTTCTATGTTATACTGAGGAAAGTGGAGCCATCTGTCTGTGGACAGACCTTGTTTTTCTTTTCGGCTTTATTTTTTTCAATTCGGGTATATTTGGTTTTGTCATTAATTGTGCAATGGTTCAAATGTTTTGAAAAAAAGATTTTTATATTAATGTGTTTCATATGTGTTAGCAATAAGCTTAATACCTCTTGTAACATATATGGTTACATCCGGACTTAAGAAACAGTTCTGTTTTAAGGTTTATTTGTTATTTTTCATATAACTGTTATAACTGTTAAGTGTTTCCAGTTGTTTACTGTTTTTTTCGTTATGTATTTGAATTTCTTACATTGTGATTTAATATTTGCACTGTCTTTCTTTTCTTTTTTTCTTTTGAGTCTTTCTGTCTTTGTTTTTTGACCAAATTTTTTGTTTATTGACCAAGCAACGTGGCATGATCTTCCAGATGAGACTTCCTTGAATGATCTATAAAATTGTAGTTATTCTCATGTTGGCATTTGTATTACCATTTGCATTGACTTCAATGATGTTTTGTTGTTGTTTTTTTTTTGCTGATTTTAACACCTTTTTGTTGTCATATCTCGGCGGTCAGTAACCTTATGATTTGAGCCGCGTCATGACAAAACCAACATAATGGGTTTGCGACCAGCATGGATCCAGACCAGCCTGCGCATCCGCGCAGTCTGATCAGGATCCATGCTGTTCGCTATCAGTTTCTCTACTTGTAATAGGGTTTGTAAGCGAACAGCATGGATCCTGATCAGACTGCGTGGATGCGCAGGCTGGTCTGGATCCATGCTGGTCGCAAACGCACTATGTTGGTTTTGTCATGACGTGGCTCTTTTTTTTTTCTTCTCATTTATGCCCCGCTCCTTTTTTCCACTTTAACATTTTTGTTATGGTATGTTTCTCAAAAACTATTACATTTTGTAATTTAAAAGATGTACACTTAAAACTTGGGATTCATGTTCATTTAATAATTAGAAAGCATTTCTAACAGACAGATAACTCTGAAAATCATTGAAAAATGCTTGAGGTGAATTTGAATTTTATTACTGGGGGTAATTGTTCAGAGCATAAAGTAGGACAAATGTAAAACACAAAAGAATTTTTGAATGTTTTGTTTTTTTGTTTCTTACCAAATATAATTCATTTGAATGTATTTAAAAATTCTTTTTATTTTGTTTTGAATTGTGCCTGATTAAGAGTTACATTAGAAATCTACAAATCAAGCATAATACTGCATTTGTGTACATACACATTTTCTTTATTTATCAGTCATTCATTTATATATTGATACAATAAACAGAGCTTATCTTTAATAAATATGTGTATAAATATGTAATATTTAGTAAATAGTTGGCATAGAACTTGTAGTATATATATACACAGAATCATCATCTTTATGTAAAGTAGTGTAAAGAAATACCAGTAGTTAAGGGCTGGGTGGGGTATAATATATTGTTACTTGCAGTAAAAATTTGTTTTTAGATTTTACTATTTGAAGATTAGGAGAGATATTTGAAGAATAGGGAGAACAATTGTAATCGCCCAGATGTTAGCATCAGGGTCACACTTCTGTTAAGTTTTTTCATGCAAGTTGGTATCTCCAAAACTGCTGAAGGGAATGAATTGAAACTTCACACACTTACTTTAGGGAATGTTAGGTCACTGTCCAAGGTTCATAATTCCTGACATGGATTTTAATAGAATTATGGCCCTTTTTCAACTTAGAAATTTCTACATTATCCAGGCTCTTGTTTTTACTATCAAGTACTGAGAATAGTTTAGCATGGTATCTTGTTAGTTTGTACAATGTAATTCTTTAAGACTATGTTACATTCCAGGGTTGTTATGTGAAAGTCTGTTTTAAAGGCACATTATGCCTCAGAAATCTATGTATTTTTAAGTATTTAGAAATGTCAAATATGTGTTTTAATGGATTTAGAGCATGAGATGATTAACAACTGGAAAAAGTAGCACTGAATGTGACAATTATGTGTCATAAAGATAGTAAAACGTAAACAAAATAGTATACTCAGACTTCCATAAAAAATACTAATTTTTTATAATTTTACCAATTGCCAACAGAGCAAAGAAAGCAAGCAACAAAAGTTCATCTATGTAGCAAATGAGTTGGGTTTTTTAAACTTTAATACTAAAAATAAAAAGTTTTTGATAAATATAAATGAGTGCATTTTTGCGACATAATGGGCCTTTAATGTATGTCTAATCATGCTACAATCATATGTGATTCTTTTTCTAAAAGTATGTAGACACTTATCTGGACAACATTTCTTTGTAAGTTTAAATATTTTTCTCAATATAAAATATATTGCAAAGAACCATAGTACAAATAAATTTGCATCATAATTTTTGGTAGATAATCAAATATCTTAATGCAATAATTGTGCCAAAGAGAATTAAACGTTTTTGATGATTTGATTTGCTATATCTTAATTATATCTTAAGTTTTTGAGATATAATACATGTATATCATAAGTACAATAAAGTGATCATTTATTAGATACCCATATGATAACTTATGTCTAGAGCATGAGAAATTATGTCCAAGACACAACATTAATTTTTTAATACGGATAAAGTAACATCTACAGTTAAGAATTCTACTTTCCTGGGGTTTTCAAGATAAAAAATGTACAATGTATAATAGAAATTATACTTACACAGTTTACTTTAAGCACAAGTGACTTCAGATTACATTCAATCATTTATTTGCATATTAACATACAGTGTAATATTCAAAGGAAATACATACATGCATTGAAATTTTTGTTATGATTATTTTCATTTAAGAAAAATATATTTTACTTCTTTTTTTTGAGTGTGATCACAAAATGGCTTCCTGTGATAATTAGATAACTGACGGCCTGTTTGCTTGTTTCATTTAAGGAAAGCTTTTCAGATTTATTTTGCTTTATTTTTTGTTTTGACATGATATATTCTGTCAAGATTTTCATCAAAAACTGATCAACTTTCGATCTTATATTGAACAAAACAGATTTTCTGTGAAATCATGTCATGAGGCCTTACGTCTTATATATTAAAGCCTATCTTTACCTCATATAGAAATTTTGCTCATACATTTGTCATTTTGGCAACTCTTTTTCATTAATCTTTTATTTTTATGCCCCCGCCATGTAATGGCCGGGGCATATAGTGTTACCCTGTTCCGTCCTTCCGTCATTCCGTCCTTCCGTCCTTCCGTCATTCCGTCCTTCCGTCATTCTGTCATTCCGTCATCATCAGTTTCCGTTCATTATCTCCCCAACGGTACAACACATTCAATTTAAATTTGACATATGGATATGTCATGTGAAAATACAGGTCAAGTTCGAATTTGGTCATGGTTCGATGATTTTTGGCAGAGTTATGCCCCTTTTACTTTGAAAATAATATGAAATTTTCAGTTTCCGTTCATTATCTCCCAAACGGTACAACACATTCAACTCAAATTTGACATATGGATATGTCATGAGAAAATACAGGTCAAGTTCGAATTTGGTCATGGTTCAATGATTTTTGGCAGAGTTATGCCCCTTTTACTTTGAAAATAATATGAAATTTTCAGTTTCCGTTCATTATCTCCCAAACGGTACAACACATTCAACTCAAATTTGACATATGGATATGTCATGAGAAAATACAGGTCAAGTTCGAATTTGGTCATGGTTCGATGATTTTTGGCAGAGTTATGCCCCTTTTACTTTGAAAATAATGTGAAATTTTCTGTTTCTGTCATTATCTCCCAAACGGTACAACACATTCAACTCAAATTTGACATATGGATATGTCATGAGAAAATACAGGTCAAGTTCGAATTTGGTCATGGTTCGATGATTTTTGGCAGAGTTATGCCCCTTTTACTTTGAAAATAATGTGAAATTTTCAGTTTACGTTCATTATCTCCCAAACAGTACAACACATTCAACTGAAATTTGACATATGGATATGTCATGAGAAAATACAGGTAAAGTTCGAATTTGGTCATGGTTCGATGATTTTTGGCAGAGTTATGCCCCTTTTTCTTTGTAAATAATATGAAATTTTCAGTTTCCGTTCATTATCTCCCCAACGGTACAACACATTCAACTCAAATTTGACATATGGATATGTTTCTGGAATGCCCAGGCCAATTTTGAATTTGGTCATGGTTCAATGATTTTTGGCAGAGTAATGCCCCTTTCACTTTGAAAATAATATGAAATTTACAGTTTCTGTTCATTATCTACCCAACAGTGTTACATATTCAACTCAAATTTGACATATGGATATGTCAAAGGAATGGGCAGGTCAAGTTGGAATTTGGTCATGGTTCGATGATTTTTTGGCAGAGTTATGTCCCTTTCACTTTGAAA